GGGGTGCCCCCGGGATCGGGGGCCCGGGGGGTGGCTGGGGCATGGTGGGGACACTTGGCGTGGTCCCCTTCCTCCTCGTGGGCTCCTGTCTCGGTACCCCAGGAGGGCAAACCGGGGCTGGGACTTGTAGCCCGGGAACCGCAGGGTGTTGCCCCAAATTGGCTCTCGGAGAGGCTCTGCCCTGGCGTGGCAGCCCTGGTCCTGGACCAAAGTCCAGGTTATTTTTAGAGGTGGTTGCCTCCTCCCAGCACCTTCCACTTTCCTTATGCCCCTTCCCGGACCCGGGTCAGGTGTCCAGTGTCCCTGTCCCTGCCCAGTGCCACCACCTCCCGGTGCCATGCCAGAGCCCCACCGCATCCCGGTGCTGGGGGCTTTTGCTTTGGGGCAGACACCGGGAGCCCAAAGTGTGCACAAGCAACAGGGTGGAAAGGGGACCGAGGCTGCCACCCCCCGTCCCCACGTCCCCAGCCCACGGGGATGAAGCCAGCTTCGGGGAAGCACTCCAGCCTATTGGGAATTTGCCGTCAGCCACGATACGTGCGGGCAGAGCCCCGGCAGGGAGTGATGCTGTGTGCATCCCGCAGGCATGTGCGTGTTTGGCCGGGGGGGGTGTTGCGTATCTTTAGGCTGGATTTAGCGGGACAGGGATTGCGAGCAGCCTGGGGGCTGCTCTCGGGTGGGTGACCTGCAGCACGGCCCTTGCCCGGCGTGAGCTGGGGCACCGCGGTGCCTGGGCACGCTGCAGAGGTTTCCCCGGCTCTTGCGGTGCCCCGGGGGCTGCTGGCGGCCCGGGCGCAGGGGGCACTGCCACGGCACTGCGTGAGGCTCGGAGATATACCTGCCACCCCATATAGCACGGGGGTTGGTGCATCCCATATGTGACCAGGGTGCGTTCAGGGACCACGATATCACCCCTGTGCCCCACAGGCTGCCATACAGTGCTGAACCCACGGGGATGGGGACGGGGACGGGCGCACAGTGTGCCCTGTGGCAGGAAGAAAACACGTCTTCCTGCACGGGGAGGGGGAAGATCAGCGCCAGGTCTGGCCGCTGCCAACTTGGCAGGACACCCGAGAGCACCCAAGTGCCCCTTCAGCCTTTTTTCAGGGAGCTGACGCGATGTCTGGGCAGGTGCCCAGCGTCTGCGGCAGATGTTGTGGTGGGGCCGTGGACCTTGGGGCAGAGCAGGAGCATCCCAGCCAAGGTTAGGGCCCGGAAAGCACCTTGGCATGGACTTTTCTCAAGAGGCATTTCCAGGCCAGGTTTCACCCTCGCCCGTGTTAATAAATACCCGAGGCTAACGGCCAGGTGCTCCCTGCCCTGTCGAGGCTTCCAAGGCAGCCCAGGAAGAGGAGGGGATCTGGCCCCTGAGATCATCCCAAGGAGGTGTGTGGTGGGACGGGGAAGCACTGAGTACTAAAGGGTTAACAGCTGGCCAGCACCACCTGAAAGGCTGAATTTGGTGCATCTGGGGAAGCCTTGGGCCAGGCAAACCCCACGCATGTCTATAACACAAGAGGGGCTGAGCCAGGCCACCATGGTGTGGGCCCCTCCAGGACCTGCCAAAAAGGGTGGCCCAGGGACAAAGTGACAGGTAAGGCAGGAGGACGAAGGCAGGGATGGACAGAGGGATGCTGGAATGGCAGACAGGGAGCTTGGCTGCAGGAGAGGGAGATGTACCACCTCCTGCAAGCTGAGGCTCTGGGCAAGGGGCTGGCGATGGTGTTTGGGGTTCAGGGGCTCCTCACGGGTGCGGGACTTCTGCAGGTGCCCGGGGCAGAGCAGCCCCAGCACCCTCAGCTGCATCCTGCGCCACTGAATCTTCACTGCGCAACCAGGAGCGGGGAGGGACCAGGGTGGGAGGGTTTGGTAGGGAGATTTGGGGGCTGCAGGAGTCCAGGAACCTCTGACCCCCCAGAGGGGCACCCCCGCAGAGAGAGCTCCCAGCTGCGGGCGCAAAGGGCCAGGGGTGGTGGGCATGGCCGCGGTGTGGGGGTCTCCGGCAGCGCCACCGGACTCAGCTCACTCCACGGAGCTGTCAGGAGAGTTTAGGGTACAATTTGCCTGACCAAACACAGGCGCCTGTTCAAGGAGAAGATGAAACACAGCTGGACTCTGTTTCCCACAGCTCCCCAGCTCTGCAGCGGGGTCTGGGAAGGGGTAAAGATATCCCTCATTTAGTGGGGTGATGCAAGAGCATCTCACTCCGGTGCTGGGTGTCCGTGGGGCGGGCACACCACGGCGTGTCAGGGGGTCAGGGCTGGTTGGTACCCAGAGGGATTGCTGTGGGTGCTGGGATGTCTGAGGGACGTGATGGGTGCCCGGCAGTGGGCAACCAGAGGCACCCAGTACTTTCGACATCCCCACCACTGTGTCCCCTGGCTGCGTGGGTCCCTGCCGCGGGCAGCATCCAGCCCTGCCGCACCATAACTCCCTTCCCTCCCCACTGCCAGCTGAGGGAATGTGAAGATTAAAATAAAACAAACCAGGCTTGTTGGAGTCAGGCTAAAAATGCCACGAATAACAGCTAATTAGCTCCATAAATCACACTGGGACGGCACACGGACAGCATACAGGCGCTTTGCACCACCTCACTCCACCGTGCACATTGACTGGGCTGGGACCCTCACAAAATACCAGCATTTCCTGAAAATACAGCTGACACCAGCCAGGCTGGGATGCGACCGCCTGCAAAACACCCCGTCCCAAAATTATGGCCAAACGCTGGCGCGCACACACCCCTGTCCCAAAATTATGGCCAGCGGCTGCAGCTCCAGCTGCCTAAATAACCCCCCCACAGCGCAGGCAGCTCCCTGCTGTCCCACAGCCCTGGGAAGGGAGGTCGGGGCTGGCAGGAGATGGGTGACAGTGAGAGACCCAAAATTGGGGTCTCGATGCCAATCGGTGCCCCTCTGCAAGGTGAAACCCAGATATGGCACTGATAGGGCAAGGGCTGCAGACAGCCAAAGGAAAAATGTGTAGATCTAGCAAGGAGGTATAGGAAGGAGGAAAGAGAACGTGACATCTTTGTAGTTTTCCTTTGGGCTTCTGTGAAGGTGAGAGACAGGAATAGGAATAAAATGAAGCCAGACCTCAGAGCTCCTTCTGCACTGGGGTCTGGCAGCTCCCAGAGCCAGCCCAGGAGCACCCAGACACCCTGTCGGCATGGGATGGACACCCCCAGCCCCACATCACCACCCCATCTGGGCCACGATACCCCGGAGCCACCTCCAAGACATCCTCAAAGGCCGCCTCGGTGGATGCTCGCCCGGAGCGCCGCGAGTGAGCGGGGGCTGCAGACGTTGCCGCGTTGGCTGGAAGCTGATGTCTCTATCTATGAATGTCACAGAGCGGGGACAGCCCTGCCTGCCACCTCGTGTCCCGTCCCCTCTGGCTCCCACAAACCCTCGTAGCTCTGAACCTGGCCCCCACAGCATCGCCAGGGTGGTGGCATGTCCCAGGGCTGGTTCTGAGTCCTCATGTCTCCTCTCGCCGTGCAGGTTGAGGCATCGCTGAAGGAGCAAAACTTTACAGAGCTGTGGGGGAAGAAAGCCAAAGAGCTCTACAGCAGCACCTGGAGCAACTTCAGTGACCCGCAGCTGAAGAAAATCATCGGCTCCATCCAGACCCTGGGACCCTCCAACCTGCCCCTGGAGAAGAGAGAGCAGGTAGGTGAGGTGCTGGCAAAGCCCTGGGCATTGCTGGGGTGCTGCAAAACCCCTTAAAAAGATTTTTACCCAAGCCTCCAGACTCTGTCACTGGCCCATTGCCCCTCCAGTGCATTTTGGAGGGACTCCCTGGCCTCTGCACAGGGAAGACAGTGATGGAGGGGGGAGTCGGGGTGCTGTCTCCAGGGAATGTGGGTGCTCGCTGGCCCCGTTATCCAGCCCTAATCTCATCTCGGAGCTATCCCAGTGGGAACCGGACATTTCCTGCTTACACAGAGCGGCCTTGGGCGTCACCTGGAGACCGGCCAGGCTGTGCCCATGGCTGGGGTCCAGCTGGCTCCCCCCCCCCCTCCAGTGCTCCCTGGGGATGCAGCCAGCTGAGAAGGAGGGCTGCTGCAGCCACCCAGGTCCTGAGCCTCCCTGCGAGCCCAGAAATGCTGTGCCTCGGTGACACAGCTCCGCCATAGGGACATCAGGACATCCTGAGACTTCCCCATCACGGTCCTGAGCTTTCAGGGTGGGTTATCTAAATGCGACATGATTTCAACTTCCCTGCATGAAAACATTGCCCAGGCTGAGGCTGGTGGCCACTTGTCTCTGCACCACTGCAGGGACAATGTCACTGCTGTCCCCTCCAGCCTGGCCCACGGCTCCCTGACAGCCCTCCCCACCGAAACCTTGGCAAAGCTCGGTGACACAATCCTTTCCGGAGAAGCGTCTGCCCCAGTTCCTTCCAGGAAACCCATCCCCACCCTCCCACAGATAACAGACAGCATCACGTCTCCTCTCTGCGCATCAGCCATGTCTCACCCATCCCCGGGCAGCTCCATCCCGCAGCCACCACTGTCCCCTGTCTCCATCCCCTCTGCCCGGCCGGAGCAGAGGGATGGGAGCGGAGAGAGGGACGGAGAGGAGGAATTTCCTTCCCTGGGAATGGGCTCCCCAGGCAGGTTCCAGGAAACCTCCTGTTGCTATTGTTTGCTGTTGTTGAAGCTCACAGAAATAAACCCCCCTCCTCCTCCTGCATCTTTTTTTTTTCTTTTTTTTTTTTTAACCCGCTTGGATAAACAGGCCGTGCTGCAGCCCCGCTGACAAAGAGTTTTATAAATAGCCCCTCTCCGGGACACCACGAGGGCTCACGCTGTGTTTGAGGGGGGCTCGGCGAGTGGCTGTGCACGGGTTTTCTGTCCCGAAGAGCCTCCCTGCTCCCACCGTGCGACGGGTGCAAAACCTCTGGGTGATAACATGCTTATCTCACCAAAAACATGCTGTGTAAACACACCAGTCCTCCTCCACATCCCTCCGGACACACACACACGCTCTGGAGCTGGGAAGTCTGTAGATCCCTCCTGAAGGGCCATTCCCATCCCCTTGCAGCCCCAACATCTTTTCCTTCCCCACAGTACAACACCATCCTGAGCAACATGGACAAAATCTACTCCACGGCCAAAGTGTGCCTGCCCAACGGTACCTGCTGGGACCTGGAACCAGGTATGGTCCCTGTCACCCTACTCCTGCAAAGTGCTGAGCACCCCATAGCGAAGAGTTTGTCCTGGTCCCCAGATCCCCAGTGGGTTGGGGTTGGCAGGTTCCACCCACGTTCATCAAGGTTGCCCTGGGGCAAGGATGGGTATTTGGGTCTCTGCAATTGTGGTGGCACCTCTGCAGAGCTGCTGTGGGATGTGACGCTCCTGTCCTGCCCCTCTCTCATGTCCTACTTGTCCCCTCTGTCCCAGACATCTCAGACATCATGGCCACCTCCCGCAGCTACAAGAAGCTGCTCTACGCCTGGGAGGGGTGGCACAATGCTGCGGGAAACCCACTGCGCGCCAAGTACGAGGAGTTTGTGAAGCTGAGCAACGAGGCCTATCAGATGGATGGTACGAGCAGGATGGGGGGATACAGGGGGTGGTGAGGTATCGGGGTGGGAATTGGGGCCGAGGCAATGGGGTGCCCTGCTGCTCTCCCCATCCCCCATGCAGCTGGGCATCCAACTTCCATTTCCACTTTGGGGAAGGATCAACAATCCCAGTGGTGTCCCCTGGTCCCCCTGGGTGGGGGGCAGCCCCTGGGGGCCAGTGCCGGGGGTCATCACTGCCTCCTTGGCAGGATTCGAGGACACAGGGAGCTACTGGCGCTCGTGGTACGACTCACCCTCCTTTGAGGATGACCTGGAACATCTCTACAACCAGCTGGAGCCACTCTACCTCAACCTGCACGCCTTCGTCCGGAGGAAGCTCTACGACCGCTATGGCCCCAAATACATCAACCTGAAGGGTCCCATCCCTGCTCACCTGCTGGGTAAGAGGAAAGACACCCCCCCAGCCTGTGCCCAGGGGTGCTGGTGGGGCCAGAGGGGCACACACAGGGCCATAGTGGGACAGGGAAGTCCCATTTATCACTGTGCTTCTCTTCCTCCCGACCTACCACCAGCTCTGCTCCAGCTGTTTTCTCTTCTCAGGCAACATGTGGGCTCAGCAGTGGAACAACATCTATGACTTGATGGTGCCCTACCCTGGGAAGCCCAACCTTGATGTCACAAGCACCATGGTGCAGCAGGTGATGGGCTGAGGGACTCACTGGTGGCACCAGGGGGACAAAAATGGGGGTGTTGGCCAAGGCTTGCCCGTAACATTGAGCCCATAGGAGCAGTTTCTCATACCTGCATACGGGACAGCAGAAAAGCCATGTCCAGGAGGGGAAGGCACAAAGAAATAACCCCACTCCCTTGCTGCCAATGACCAGAGGCAGCGGGTGGGCAAAGAGGAAGGGCAGTGTGGTGGGACTGGTGCCAGTCCCCAGGTTGGGGCTGCATCCACACCATCACACAGCTCTCTGTCCATGCTGGGCACCAGCACTGCTGTTCAGCGGTTCTTAAGAATGCTCACCCCATTTCTGGGGGCCAGGGCTCCCCATCAGGGTGAGAGGGGCAGGACCCCGGTCCCTTGGAGGGACCCACCTCTCCCCCACAGTGCTGGGAGAGCACCAGAGGCGATGTCCAGGGCATGGGCAGACCCTTCCTCAGCCGTAACCTACTGCCTGCTGCCCACCAGGGCTGGAACGCCACCCACATGTTCCGGGTCTCAGAGGAATTCTTCACCTCCCTGGGGCTGCTAGAGATGCCCCCTGAGTTCTGGG